AAAAAAAAAAAAAAAAAAAATGCATTTTACATCATGACCCACACAAGCATGTACTTATAACGAGCCAAAACAAAGTATTCATGAGATCACAGCTACCTTTACTATTTATGCTGTACTGTGAAATGTTCTATTTCATTAAAAAAATTTTTTTTTCATTTTTTAAAATTTATTTTTGAGAGAGAGAGCATGAGTAGGGGAGGGGCAGAGAGATAGGGGGACAAAGGATCTGAAGCAGGCTCTTCGCTGACAGGGGCAAACCCGATACGGGGCTCGAACCCACGAACCGTGAGATCATGACCTGAGCTGAAGTCGGACACTCAACTGACTGAGCCACCTAGGCGCCCTGTTCTATTTCATTTTTTTAAAAATGCTTATTTTGACCCACTAAACTGATTTCACTCTTTAGTCCTGGCCAAATGCTTCGTTTTTTGTTTTAAGAAGATAGAAGTTTATTGAATACACCGCAATGAAGGGGCAGGCTGTCTGCCCTGACCAAACATTTGGGAAAGCACTGTTAGGACACAGCTGCATAAAATGCGGCCCTTGAATGTATTTCCGGGAGCAGTGGTGTCACCCAAGAGTTTACTAGAGGTATAGCTTACTAGAGGCTCACCCCAAACCTACCGAATCAGAATCTGCATTTCTATAATGCTCCCAGGAGACTCACGTGCACACGAAAATTCGAGATGCCCTGGTCTAGGATGGCAGGAAGCCACTCTGTTAGAATTGACTGTTGGGGTGCCTGGGTGGCTCTGCAAGTTGAGCATCCCGCTCTTGATCTCGACCCAGGTCATGACCCCATGGCCATGGGTTGGAGCTCTGCGTCAGGCTCCATGCTGACAGTGTGGAGCCTGCTTGGGATTCTCTCCCCCTCTCTCTGCCCCTCCCCCACTGGCACTCTCTGTCTCTCTCAAAATAAATAAATTAATTTAAAAAAAAAAGAATTGTACACATTAACATAAGTGCCTGGGGACTCTCTATAAGTGAAGGCTATGAACTTGAGCAGCAGCATGAACACCTGTCGGAATACCCCAAGGGGCCTTCTCCCGTGTTGTATGCTGCGAGGGCGTTGCAGAAACGTGTCCTCCCTCTGCCCACGACGTCTGAAAATCAGACGTGGCGCTCTGTGGTCTCTGCCCGTGGCTTGTTCACAACTAGGAGCTTTGAAAGTCAATTTCTAAACGCAGAGATCTCAATTCTTCTGCAGCCAACCGTGGGAAGTTCACAGAGCTTTTTTTTTTTTTTTTTTTCCCCAGAGAATCAGCTCCAGGAAAATGTGGCAGCTCAGGACCAGGAACTAAGAGTCTGAGGCATGAGGCCCCATCTGGCCGCTAGCTGCACAGAGTCTCAGTTTCTCTGTCCTCAAACGCGGCTGTGCTGGTGACCATCTCAAAACTGCCTCCTCAAAATCCCCTGAGCTGTCCCTAGAGGCTGCATCACCGCCCCCAAGACCCACTCCCTGGGACCTCAGCCCAGCTCCCGCAAGTGGTCCCAGGGCCTGTACTGCCTTCACGGCTCCCGACTCACCCCTGACCTTGGGGAGACCCTCATGGATGCAGCCTGGGGGAGGGAAGGTATGAATCCCCTTTCACTCTCCATTTCCGCAGAGGGAAGCCTCATTGTGAGTCTCCTTTTGTGTGTGCAGAGCCTGGGGGATCCAGCCCCTCCGTCTCAGCCCCCTTCCTGTCACTAGACAGGACAGTCACCCCCAGAGTGGACTCTGCCCTGCTCTACCGCACATCTTTGTCGGGCAAGTAAACACGGAAACGTAAGCCCTGCAGGGAACTTGTGTGAGCCACTTGGCACCCACTCACAAAGCTAAGCAAGATTTGTTTTGTTCATTCACCTTCCTGCTGAGGTAAATCACCCTGCTGATGAGAAGAGAAGCTGGAGGTGGAGGAGGGAAGGGGAGTGGGTGACAGGGGATAAATGTCAGAGAGATGCCCAGCGAGGGAAACTCAATTTCCAGAAATGTAAGAAAGGGGCATGACATCACCACAGCCGTCTGAAAGGTCAACCCCTCACTGGGGGTCAGCAGTTCACTCATCTGGGACACTGTTGACAGGAAAATGAGTCATTTAGCGCTCCCAGTCTTGGAAGACTGCTAGATATTTACCAAAGGCCAGGACTTGTTGCCTGAATACTTTCAGAAGTAAATATGAGTCATGAAATCTAAGAAGTACAGAGGACGCTGCTGGTGCCCTGCCCATAGCCCTTGGCTCTCACCTCTACTCTCTGATGGCCGCCAGATGTCGAATGTCAGCACCTGACTCCGCGCCTGACTTAGCCAGCGCAAAGGGCAACTTGGAAAGGGAAGGTGGGGATGAAGCCGAGCCAAGCCGGCTGGGTTTGCTAGCTCCTTCCCAAAAGGGGGTCTTTTCAGTTTGCAGTGGAGTCAGTGGAAGCAGCCTCACCCCATCACGGATGGGAGGCAGGTGAATGAAAACTCAGCTTCCTTACCCCCGGGCTGGGATAGCTCAGGGTGTGCTCTCACTGTCCCCGACAGGTCCCCCCCACTGGTAGTGAGTCCCAGTTGCCCACCGTGCTACAATTTACATTTAAATTGGATTTCAGGAGCACCTGGACGGCTCAGCCGGTGAAGCGTCCGACGACTTCGGTGAAGCGTCCGACGACTTCGGCTCGGGTCATGATCTCACAGTTCACGAGTTCGAGGCCCTCATCGGGCTCTGTGCTGACAGCTCAGAGCCTCCTTCAGATCCTCTGTCCCCCTCTCTCTGCCCCTCCCCAACTCGCACGCACACACACTCTTATTCTCTCTCAAAAATAAATAAACATCAAATCAAATAAAAAATAAATAAATTGGATGTCCTTCGCTCCTCTGTGGGGAAGTACTTCAGGGCCTGTTTCTGGAGAAATGTAGCCGAAGGCAGTAGGACTAGTACCCCAGGAGGTCTAAATCGGCACCCTGAGTTGAGTAACCAGGGAACAGGCTGGCTGGAGAGAAGAGGAAATTCTTGTCACTAGAAACGTGCAGGAACACCTGGTGACCGTCTCAGAGCGGCCCCACCGAAAGGGGCTTCAAAAAATTCAAAGTCTGGTGTAGTTGTATTTGCCAAGGTGATGACTACATTTTCTAAAGCCCCACTCCTCTTATATCCTCTTACCCAGTAACTCTGAGCTAGGCACCCAAAAGAGGGAGGTAACTGAAGGTTACTTGACTTTGGGCAGAACACAACTTTCTGGCCCCCAATTTCCTTATTTGGAATGCAAGTGAATTACCCGAGGGACACCTCCGGTCTCTACAGTGTTGATCTTCTAGGACTTGGTGTGCCAGTTAGAAGAGTGGACTTTGAATATGGGGAGGTAACGGGGGATAATAGAGGGCCTCGTGGGACCTGCAAATAAGCCCCCCCAACCACCACTGAGGCTTGGTGTCCTCAGCTGCCATGAGATGTCATCAAAGGTCCTTCTTCACAGCAACACTCAGGGTCTTCAGCTCTGTCCCCAAAGTCCCATTTTTCCTCATCACCACGGTTTGGGTTGTGAACAGAACCCAAATCCTACCCTCTATGTAACTGTTGCCAAACATCTCCTTGGAACAGCCCTAAGCTCCAAGCTACCTACCGGTCAGGGCTTGCACTCGGACAAGACGAAACAAGAGAGGTTCCTCACACAGAGCCCCTTGCCCCTGTCCCCACATCACACTCCCGCTTCCCTCCACTGCTGCTCTGAGGCGTGAGGGCACCCATGTTCTGTGGTTCTCTCGTATCCATGAGTCCCCGTCTTCCCACAGGCTGCATTCCTCGCTAAGAGAATGCCACACTGTTTCCAGCAAAGGCAGCCAGGTCCCCCCAAGGCCTGTGAAGTCATGCCCGCTGCTCAGTCCTGTCAGCAGCTCAAAAAGTAGGTCGTGGCCAGGAAATCAGAAGGGTATGAAATCAGTTAAGCAGGGTTCCAGCCCCTGGATGAGCCGAGCAAGAAGTGGCCTAGATGCTTCACAATCCCAGTCAGATGTACCCGCCCACAGCCACCCCAAGAACCGCCTCCCCCCACCCCCGATTAAGACCTCCCACTGGCTATAGTCAGCTTGCTGCCTATCTTATGATTCCCTTGGCTTAGGAAGTACATTTAAAAATCTCTTAGAGGATGATCAGCAGGACCAAGGGTTGGCCTTAGCATGGAGAGCCCATGTGCTCTGGAGCATGTCACTTAGCTTCTCCACCCCTCAGCTCTGGCAACTGAAACAATCTACAGCCTGTTCTATGGTTAGGAGTTTCCTCGGGAAAATGAAATAAAAAGATATGGCCAATATGTCTCCCATGGCTCTCCTTGGGTGGGTTTGATTGTTTTACATATTCTTCTGCTTCCCTGCCATTTCCCAATTTTTGACAATAAGCATATGCGACTTTAGGAACAATGAAAATGAAGCATAATCATTTAAAAGAGAGTTCTACATACATACAACTATGGTTCACTGTTTCACCTCATCTGGCTTCCTCATTGGCAACATCCCCAATCCTTTGTCTTTAGGCTGAAAGAGTCCCCATAGCTCATTTGATCCCAACCCTCATCTTACTAATGAGGAGACTTCTCGTCTTCACCCTTGACCATGGCAGCTGCCTCCCCGCAGTGAGAATTCACATTGACCTCCCCTGACTTCCTCACCAAGGAAAACTTACAGAAAACCCAGCAAAGAAATAGCAAATGGAGGGAAGGTAGTCTCTTGGGTAAGAAGTCCATGTGTCACATTTATGTCCTTTAAAAACATCAGCCTCTGGGGGCTCCCGGGTGGCTCAACTGGTTAAGCATCTGACTTTGGCTCAGGTCAGGATCTCACAGCTTATGGGTTCACCCCCCACGTCAGGCTCTGTGCCGATAGCTCAGAGCCTGGAACCTGCTTTAGATTCTCTCTCCCTCTCTCTCTCTGCCCCTCCCTGGCTTGCATCCTGTCTCTCTGTCTCTCAAAAATGAATAAACATTAAAAATTTTTTTCAATAAAAAATATAAAAACATCAGCCTTTCTCCTCCCCTCTACTCACGGAGTCTTCCTGGCAGCTTGCAGATTCCCCCTTCACCCAGCAAGTCCATTCCAGCTTCACATTTGGCCTGGGTGCCTGGGGGTGGTGTGGCTGCCTCGGGGCTCACAGAAAAACTGGCCAACTCTCCCTCCTAGAAAGTAGAAAAGCCGGGGCAGTCAAAGAAGAGCCTTCTTGGTGAAGGCTCAGCCATCCTTACATGTATTAAGATTTTTTTTTTTCCAATGGAAAGAGCAACCATCTGCCTTAAAGGTAGGAACCATGTATGCCCTTAGCTTGGTTCCTTCGACATCTTGTACGCAGCGGGCACTTGACCGATTTCGCCTTTCTGATTCAAGTTTTTCACGAATGTGCCGAACCCCACCAGGAAGGCTCTCCTGCCAAGATCTGATTGTACGCTGAAAATCTAAGAGCCTAGGCATGCTCTCTGGGACCTTGGTGAGAGGACACAGGGGACCTGAGGGGCCAGGATAAAAAGATCTGAAGTCAGAAATAAACAAGCAACCAAGTAAATGCTGTTTTCAAGAGAGAAAAGGGAAGGATAAATTTCTAAATCCCAAGGTCCCACCAAGGGAAGCCTATATCTTTACAATTTTACAACCAGCTTCGCCCCAGAGGTATTCGGTTCATCCGTTAGGATGAGGGCATGACAAAAGTGACAGGATTTTGTAGAAACAGGAGGATCCTTGGGACTTATGCCCAGTCACAGGTGCCACCCTGTGAAAAGCAAAAGTGAAACCAGTCCCAGCAAGTCATTTTCCCGATCTAGGATCTTCAAGAGCATTACCTTCATCTCTTGGTGTCTGAGGAGGGCAACCTGCAGTGAAAGACTGGGGATTTGGAGCCACACAGCAAACTCCAGAAGCCTGCAGAGGAGGATTTGACAACTTTTGGGGTAGCTCTGAGGGCATTTCTGGCTGGGACCCAGCCCCCCTGCTCCCATGGGTGCTGTTTCCCAGGTAATCCAGCCTCCAAGGTTGCCACTGGGAGGGAGGGCTTGCCAGGCTGGAGAAGGGTCTAGGGTCTAGGGCCTGATACTCACAGGAAGCCCCTCGTGGACTCTTCAACCCTCTTCCAAGCATTCTAATACCAGCCAATTCCGGGGTTTTAACTGCCTGGGAAATGCCAGCCAGGGAGCTGCTGAGAGGGGTCTGGGCCTCAGCAGGAAGGCCAGGGGAAAGGTCTGATAAAATATGGATATGTATCTGAAACTTGATCATGGAGAGAGGAGGTGGAGAAAGGCCTTGGAGGTGGGAAGAGGGAGCCCAGCTCTGGGGCGGTTCTGAGGCTGCTGGGGAAATACGCAAAGGCAGAGGGACTGCTAAGGAGTGAGGGGGGTGGGGGGAGGCCTCCGCGGTCGCGCTTGCCAGCTGTGAGGGGCTGGTTTGTGCAGGAACCTCCTGGGACATCACAACTGGTTGATGGAGGGGTGAGGAGGAGGTGTGGAGGAGCAGTATATAACACAGAAGGGCTGGAGGTGAGTTAGGAGGAGAGAGGGCCGGCGAGAGAGGGATGCAAGGTGAAGTTTGGTTATGTGTTGGAAAGCGAGATTCCAGCCAGGAAATAGTTCTGATAAAATGAGTATGGAACTTGATTGAGGTAATGGAGAAGGGATGGGGGGCAGGAGGCTCAGTTCGCGCACTGCGGACTTCAGCCCAGCCGCTGGGCTCTTACCTGCATCACAGGTGGAGAGGTGAGGGAGCCACCGGCTGTCCGTCGTGAGCGCTCCGCCGGCTGCGGCTGCTGGGCCTCCTTCCCCCAACCCCTAACTCGGCTCCCCAAACTGGAAGGTGGCCTAGGAGGAAATCTCTTTCGAGAAGAGAAGCGCCGGGTGGCCTCGGGTTCCCGGGCGAGCAGCCTCACAAGGGCGCTCCGGTAATCTCTATCCTTCCGGGAAACGAAAACGAAAGAGCGGGATCCGGCTTCCACTCCCGCCCCGGCGGGCTCCGGGGAGGCAGGGGCCGGCCCTTGCGGGAGCAGAGCAGCGGGCGCTGTCTGCTTGCCAGCCCGGAGGCGTCGGTCCTGCCGGCGTGCCCCCGCCAGTGGACGGACCCTCCTCGGGCCAGCCTGGCCCTGGTTCCCAGGGGCATGGAGGTGAGATGCTGCGGGATCTGGGGAGCCGAAGGAACCCCTGGTCTTGGGCTCAGGACAGCAACAGACCACCTTCATGTCACCCCTGTGTGTCTCCGCATTTGGATGGGGACGGGTCCTCCGATGCTGTCCGCCTGGACCAGCTGCCTCGCCCCTTAGGGATGGGTGACTTTCTTGGCCCTGACCCCCGCCTCTGCCTGCCGTTTGGCCGGCGGAGCCCCACCATCAGAGGGGCTGTGGTACCCCCTGCTGCCTTAGACCCCAGTACTCAGTGGAATCCCCCTACACCTTTTCCCAGGCCGCTGGCTTCTCCAGGCAAACCAACACACTTACCCGAGGAAAAGGAGAAAGCCTGACCTTGTGCAGAAATTCCCAAGGGGTAGATGCTGTTGCAAATGCTTACTTAGCACTGATACGCCATGAGCTCCTAGAAACTAGTAAGAACAAGGCCAGAAACCCAACAGAAAAAGGAGCAAAGGATATGAATAGAAAGTCCTCCTAAAACAAAATGCTGAATGGCCCCGGAATATAGAAGATGCTCAGACTCACTCATTATTAAGGTGTGCAAAATAAAGTTTTCTGAGATATCATTTTTTTACCTGTTAATCTGGCAAAAATTCAAAAGTCTAATGACATAATCCACTGGAGAGGCCGAGGGGAACAGAGAACATTGGGCAAGCCCACGGAAAGTAGTAAGACAAGATCTGGCAAAGTTACAAATGCACATACATACCCTTCGGCCAGCAGTCCCACTGCCGGAAATGTGTTCAATGAATCCAACGCACCTATCCAAAATGTACATGTTGTTTATTTCAGCATGGCTTATGATAAGGAACAATTAGAAACGATCCAGGCATCCATTAAAAGGGGGCTGATGAAATAAATTATGGTAGATCCATTTAACAGAACACTGTCTCATCTCTCTGTGAGGGATGGCAAGTTCTCCAAGAGGCAATACAGCATAGTCTTTAGGAACCTAGACTCAGGACAGTCCACCCGGCTTAGAATTCCAGCCATCATGGGGTGCCTGGGTGGCTCAGTCGGTTAAACGTCTGACTTTGGCTCGGGTCGTGATCTCCTGGTTCGTGGGTTTGAGCCTCACATCTGGCTCTGTGCTCACAGCTCAGAGCCTGGAGCCTGCTTTGGATCCTGTGTCTCCCCCTCTCTCTGTCTCTCCCCGACTCACACTCTGTCTCTCTCTCTCTCTCTCAAATATAAACATTAAAAATTTTTTAAGAAAAGAAGAGCAAGAGTTTTCATTGAAGCCTTTTTATATGTTTTGATTTTTAACCATGGGAATAAATACCTATCAAAAGAGTAAAAATAAATAAGAAAGATGTTTAAAATTTTGTTTAATGTTTATCTATTTTGGAACTGTATAGGCATGGCCTGAGACAAACTGAAAAAATGAGGACGTTTCCCTTTGGAAGGGAATGCTACATGTGATCAAAATCTACAAAATTTTGAACCCATATGGCAGAAACAAGTGGAACCCCTCCTTCACAAAAGGAACATGCACAGGTGTTTCATGCTCAAAAATATAACAATATTTATTTCATTTCTTAAATTATTAATTTTTAAATAACAATCTTCCTACAAAGAACTCGAAATGTATACATGGAACTTATAATTTATAACCAGAAACTTTCTTAATGCTTCCAAAAGGGGGAGAAGAGAAGGAAGGTGAGGTAGACGGAGAGGTCTAAGAACAGGGCACTGCAGGTCTGGACACAGGCAACAAGGGTGGGGCCAGCAGGTTGCTGGAGGGCCCAGCACCCAGGGAAGGGCCAGGAGAAAGCACCCATTTCTGTGACCTCTGCTTTGAGAACAAGGTTCAATTTCACTCATGAAAGAAGATGCTTCAGGTTGCTTTACAAAGAGCACCGGGGACCGTCCACAGCACTGGTGGTAGAATTCTAAGTGGCAAGGCCCCCTGGGGCTTTACCGGGAGGCAGTCACAGACGTCTCACAGCAGGTGGCTCTGAACAGACAAACGGCCAGTGAGTCTGCAGTCCTCCAAGAAACCGGGCGTGAACCAACAGTGATGAGTAAAAAGAGAGGGAGACAGAGAAGGGTCTGCTTCCATCTGCCCCAGTGGGATTCTTGTTTTCTCAGAGGTTAGAAGGTGGCATTTACATTTCTTTCACATCCAACGGATATTCCAGAGAAAGCGCTGCAGGGCGTGAACTCCTCCAAAGAAAACCAAGACACAATGAGCCAGTGCCTCCCTGACTTCCTGCTGAAGAAGATCCTGTTGATCAGAAGAGCGAGAGAGAAGCTTTTTTAAAAAGTTGATAGAATAGGGGCACCTGGGTGGCTCAATGGGTTAAGCGTAAGTCTGACTTGGGCCCAGGTCATGATCTCACAGTTCGTGGGTTCGGTCGGGCTCTGTGCTAACAGCTTGGAGCCTGGAGCCTGCCTCGGATTTTGTGTCTCCCTCTCTCTCTCTCTGCCCCTCCCCAGCTCATGCTCGCACTCTGTCTCTGGCAAAAATAAATAAACTTAAAAAAAATTTTTTTTAAATCAACAGAATAATCCAAAGGTAGAAACTCAATATTAATTCAACGAATGCCACAAACAAGCTTCCTGGGCTGCTTTATGAATTGTATGAGCAGGAGGATATCTGGGTCTGTTCCTCCACCCGCCTTGGGAAGCTTCGTCTGGATTTATCTTTTCCATCCGAACCATCCGCACATGGGGGCACTCTTTCCGGGGCTGGTAACCTCTGCCTCTGGCTTTGCAGGGCACTTTCTTAGTCCTTTCAAAGAAGCCAGGTGTTTGCTTTGGGGTTGGAAGAACTGATAGGACTTAGATGAGCGTAGGGGGGAGTGAGTATGAGCAAAGTGGGAGGTGACAGCACAGCAGGTTTGTGGAGGAGTAAGTAAAGGCCGCTGTTTATTCTGGAACATCAGAGAAGAACACATGGCTCTCCCTGGCCCTGCCCCTCCTCCTGCAGTCTATTCACCACACAGCAGCCTTGGTGAACAGTGAAATGTGCCTCCTGTGCTCAGTGCTCTCCCATGGCTCTGCTTCAGTCCTCAGGCGGACCTGGGATCCTGCCTACTCTGCCCCAACCAGCCGCTCTGACCATAGTTTTTACTACTTTCTCTCTTACTCAGCTTCCTTTGCTGCCTCCTTGCTCTTCTTCAAACATGCCAGACATGCTCCTGCCTCCACGTCTCTGCTTCCCACCCCCCTTCCGCCTCCATTGCTCTCCCCCTCCAGAGATGCACGGCTCCCTTCTACACCTCTGTCAAGGTTTCACTCAGAAGTCATCCTCTCAGTAGTAAGGCCTTCCCCCTCTACTTAAAATTGTAAACCCCCCAACACTCCTCCTTCCTTTCCTTGCTTTATTTTTCTGCATAATATTTGTCATTGACTGATAAACTGCATACTTTATTTGTCTGCTTATAGTCTGTCTCCCCTTTTAGGATATAAACTCCAAGAGGGGCCCCTGGGTGGCTCAGTTGGTTAAGCATCTGACTTCAGCTCAGATCATGACTTCACGGTTTGTTCAAGCCCCACATCGGGCTCTGTGCTGTCCGCACAGAATCTGCTTCAGATCCTCTGTCCCTCTCTCTCTCCACCCCTCCCCTGCTCTCTCTCTCTCTCTCTCTCTCTCTCTCTCAAAAATAAATAACATTAAAAAAAATTTTTTTAATGTTTAAAAAAAACAAGCGTATAAGCTCCATGAGATCAAGGAGTTTTCTCTCTTTTAATCCTGCTATATCTCCAGCACTTAAACGGATCCTGACACATAATAGACAGTATTCTATAAATATTAGTTATATAAATGAATGAATGAATGAATGAATGAATGATAAACCAACAGTGGCAAGCTAAAGAATTTAGACTTTGTCCTGTCAGCGACTAGGAATCATTAAAGGGTTGTTTTTCTCTTTTATAGTTGGTATCAGTTAGGAAAATGGAATGGATTTCCTTCTGGTAAGGTAGATGAGAAAAGGTACAGAGCACCAAGTCAGAGGCTCATATATTTAAATTCCAGCTTTGGCACTTAATTGCCAAATGACCTTAGGTTACCTAATCTCTCTGAACCTCATACTAATCCACTAATCCATAGAGTTATTGAGAGAATTGACTAAAACACATAAGAGTCTCTCAAAGAGTACCTGGAAGAAATTGTTTAATAATAAATGTTAGTTTCCCTTCCCTCTTTTAAACAAACTAAGAAATTCCATATGCATTACTGTACCAGTCAGGGTCCCAGAGGAGACAGATGGCACACTCAAATTAGGATAACTCAGGGACAGTTAAATAAAGAGATTGTCTACAAAGGTGGGGAGCACACAGGTGGCGCAATACCACGTGGGCTGGTAACGTCTGAGTTGTTGCCTGTACTGTTGGGGATACAGGGTAGCACAGTTACTAGAACCCAGAAGGAGAGAGTCCTATGGAGATAAAATTCCAAAGACACATTTAAGATCCTAAAAGCAATGGGAAGACTATTTTAAAACATAGTTTATATCTAGGAAAAGTACATGCTCCAGATTAAAAAAAAAAAAAAAAAAAAGACCAGGTCCTTGAACCAAAATCCCTCCAAAACCCTAAACAGCAAAATAGAAGACATTATTTTGAGAATCAAGGCTTGCTTGAAAACAAAGAACACTTGCTTACGTGAAAAGAACAAGAGACCAAGCTTTGTAGCAGCTCAAGAGAGATCTACTCGCAGACAAAAGCAGAACTTGGTGAACTCCTTGCTAGGGAGCTCCAAGCGCAAGAGTGAAAGTTTCCTTATGCCAAAAGCAGGAAGACATCCGGAGGATCAGTGTGACCGCTTGATTAAACAGAATACAAAAGGTGAATCCGCGATGACTATATACAAAAGAAAGACATCATTCCAGATTTGAAATTCTGCGACAGTTGCTTGATTTAAGTCTTGAAGCAGCAGAGTAAAAAGCCTTGAGCATTTTAGAGCCACGCGTTGGAGGAATTTTTACTATTACTTTTTAGACGCACCGTGAGCTACTTAAAGGTGACCTAAAATGCAATTTTGTGGTCCAGGCCAAGGTACCTTTCAAAGCCGAGGGCAAAGCCGACTTTGTGAAATGCTGCAGGAAACGCTAGGGCAGGCATAAGGATACACATATAGATCAATGGAATAGAATGGAGAGCCCAGAAATAAACGCTCACATTGACAGTCAATTAATTTTTGACAAGGATGCCAAGGCAATTTAATAGGGAAAGAATGGTCTTTTCAACAAAGGGTTCTGGGACAACTGGATGGATACCCACATGCAAAAGAATGAAGATAAACTTTTAACTCACAGCATACACAAAAATGGATCAAAGACCTAAATTTAACAGCTAAAACTATAAATCTCTTAGAAGAACACATAGGTGTAAATCCTCATGACTTTGGATTAGGCAATGATTTCTTAGCTATGACCCCTAAAGCAGTAGAAACAAAAGAAAAAAATAGGTAAATTGAACCTCATCAAAATTTAAAAGTTCAGTGCTTCAAAGAACACCGTCCAAAAAGTGAAAATGGGAGAAAATATTTGCAAGTAATATATCCAATAAGGAACTTACATCTAGAATGTATAAAGAACTCCAACAGCTCAATCATAAAAAGACAAATAAGCCAATTTTAAAATGGGCAAAGGATCTGAACAGACATTTCTCCAAAGAGACATCCAAATGAGTAGTAAGCACATAACAAGATACACAACACTAGCCATCAGGAAAGTGCAGATCGAAACCACAATATGAGGGGCGTCTGGGTGGCTCAGTCAGTTAGGCATCCAACTTCGGCTCAGGTCCTGATCTCTCGGTTCCATGAGTTCCAACCCCACATCGGGCTCTATGCTGACAGCTCAGAGCCTGGAGTCTGCTTTGGATTCTGTGTCTCCCTCTCTCTCTGCCCCTCCCCTGCTCATGCTCTCTCTCTCTCTCTCTCTCTCTCTCTCTCTCAAAAATAAACATTAAAAAAAATTTTAATGATAACTTTATGGAAAAATAAAATTTATATACTGTATAATTTTCCTGTTGAGTAATGTACAGCTAATGGTTTTTAGAATATTCACAGAGCTGTACAACCATCATCAGAATCAACTTTAAGTTCAATTATTTATTTTTAAGAGAGAGAGAGTATAAGTGGGGCAGGGGCAGAGAGAGAGGGGGACAGAGGATCTGAAGTGGGCTCTGCTCAGAGAGCCCGAGGAGGGGTTGAACTCACAAACTGTGAGGTGCCCCTCATTTTTTAAAAAAAGCTAGGGAGTTCAGTGTCAACTTATTAAGCTGTAGGGGTCAATTTAAGACCCAAGTAAATTATAACTTCAAAGGTAAGGGACCTCTTGATTGGGTTGAGGCAAATACAGAAAATAGTTGGTTGTGATTTGTCCTCTGTCCTCTTCAGAGAAAAAATTAGAAGGAACCATGAGTATTCAGAATTAGCAGATAAAGAGGCAGGGAAGATACACTAAGGGCTTTCCTAGAATGCATAAAGTCCAGTCATCAGTGAAAACTTTCCTACAGAGGAAACTGTAGCATAGAAAGGAAATGGTAAATATCTCGAGCATGCTGGTAAATGATCCATAGCACAGAGGTGGTCAACTCCAACTGTTTTGTGGTCCAGGGCACAACTATTAAAAGGGCAAAGGCAGAAAACAATTTTTTGTTCGAGTTAACATTTATTGATCATTTTCCGTGGGTCAGGTTCTGTTCTAAGTGATTTACAAAGATTATCTCATTTAATTTTCACAACAGCCTACTCTCTGCTCGGCAGCCAGTACCCATTCTAAATGTGAATCAGCTCACAAAGCTCTCCTGCTCTCCCTCTCCAGAAGCTTCCTTATGCGTAGGGTAAAACCCAAACACCTTATCATTGCCTCTACGACTGAAGCCAACTCCTGGGGCTCAACTCACTCCATTCCAGCTACTCTGGCCCCCCCTCGGTCTTCCTTAGGCCTGTTCCTATCACACGCGCTCCCTGTTCCCCTGCCTGGAACACTTGTCCCCCAGGTATTCCCATGGCTCACTCCCTTACTTCCAGTCTCAGCTCAAATCTTGCCTCCCCAGGGAGGCCTTCCCTGATCACCCATCCAAAGTCACTCTCCATCACTCGGTATCCCCAATCCTGCTTTGAGCCTGCATCCCTGCCTGACTAGTCATCCGCTTTACTGTTCAGCACGAGTTCAATGAGAGCAGGCTCCCCTTCTGTCCGGCTCTCTGCTCTAGCTACCAATGCCTGGAACTGAGTCTTGCATATAGTATGCACTAAATAAAATTTGCTTGGATGAAATCGGTCCGTCAGGTATTTTATTTGACTCTCTGTGTTTCTTTCCTCTTTGTTTCCTTCTTACTTTCAGTAGTGTTGTTGTTGGGACCGTTCATTCGTGTTTTGTCTCAGGGAATGTTTTACCTGGGGGAAAGGCTGAGTATTAGCCACATTTGAACCAGAGCATAAAAGAGGACATGGCATCCCTGAAACCAGCATGATGGCAGCAGCAGTGATGAATCCTCACAGGACAGGTACTTTTGATGGGAAGAAGTCGGGCTCTGAGGGGCAGCCCCCTCCCCCGTGGAGCCTCACATATCATTCTCTCTCCACTGCCGACTATAGGTTATTCTAGTGGACTTGAGCTCCTCTAAGATCTCAAACAGTAACCATTATTCTTTCCCTTATTATCTCATATAATAATCAGCAGAAACAAAGAAATCAGCAGGGGTGGGGCTTAGATCATCACCTCTGGGTCGGTTCAAGGAGGAAAACCACAATTAAGGGTTTTCTCCTCCCTGAATGGGCATTAGATTCACCTGTGGAGCTTTTAAAGTACCTGATGCCCAGGCCACACCTCTTGACAATAAAATTAGAATCTCTCAAGGTGGGGCCCAGGCATCTGTAGTTCTTAAAACTTCAACGGTGATTCTAATATGCACCCTGGTTGGAGGGTGTGGAGCAAAGTCTCTCGCACTTTAATGTGCATGCAAACCTCCTGGGGTGTGTGTAAAAAAGTAGATCCTGACTCTGGCATTGTGGCTGGGGCGTGAGCTTTTGCATATTTGACCAGATGCTACATGATGCTGATGTTGCTGTCCACGGACCACAGTTTGAGTAACAAGTGTGAGATCAAATATTGGCTTTGACTCAGGTTCACAATTTTCAGATCTAATGTTTCAGCATTTGGACATTATTAATCCTCATGTTCTGCTAATTCCTGGGCCTCCCAGCCACTCGGCAGTCATTGTTCTGTTTGCTCTTCCTTCCTACCTGACTGGCTGTTTTGGAGGAAACTGAAGACGTACCTCTTGAACCATCCCACGATTGATGCTGTCCCCAATGTTTCTTAACTGCATGGCCAACTTGTGGATTATTTCCTCCTGGTGACGGTTCTGGCCAATGCTACTCTCCTTGGGCTGAGAAGGCAGATTGTGATCTACATTGAACAGAAAAGAGTTCAAAAGAGAGTATTAACTATAAATCACTCACCACTAGTCACTAAAAACTGTCTTAGACAATGAAAGGGATGAAATCTCATCATCGATGACTATAGAAAAGCAAAGCCTTGCATTGGAATAGATTAGTTCTGTTCAATAGGAACATAATTCAAACTACACATTAATTTTAAATTTTCTGGTAGTAACATCAGGCAAAACTATTTTAGTAATATATTTTACTTAAGACAATACATCCAAAATATTATCATGAAACATATAATCAATACAATTTTTTTTTTTTTGAGAGAGAGAGAGAGGGAGAGTGAGAGCAGGGGAGGGGCAGAGGGAGAGGGAGAGAGAGAATCTTAAGCAGGCTCCATGCCCAGCATGGGCTTGATCTCACGACCCTAATATCATGACCTGAGCTGAAATCAAGAGTCAGACTCTTAACCAACTGAGTCACGCAGTCATCCCCAAATTACCAACAATATGTTTTGCACTTTTTATAGTTAAGTCTTTCAAATCCAGTGTTTATTTCATACTTACAGCACATCTCAATTCAGGTGCTATCTTTTCATTGGAAAACCCTGATTTGTATTTGTATTTCATGAAACTTACAGTTTAAAAGGTAGAATCATATATCCAAGTTGTTTATATATATATATATATATATATATATATATATATATATATATATATGTTGTTCCAAATGTACTTAATAGTTTTCCAACAATTAAATCAAGTATCAGTTTTTAAACTTTAATTGAAAATAAATAAAACTTAAAATTCAGTTCCTCAACTGGCCACATTTCAAGCACTCAAGAAACAAACACAGTTAGTAGCTATCATCCTGGACAGTACAGATCTGTATCTTTATAGTTTTGTAAGGTAGAGCTTTCCATTTTAATGCTTATATCCATGATCCTTGAATGAGTTCCTCCAAACTTTATTTGCTTCCAACAACCAATAAGTGTGATTTTTTTAACACACACACACACACACACACACACACACACACACACACAGAATGGGGGAGGGGCAGAGAAAGAAGGAGACACAGAATCGGAAGCAGGCTCCAGGCTCTGAGCTGTCAGCCCAGAGCCCAGTGAGGGGTTTGAACTCACAGATCGCAAGATCATGACCTGAGCCAAAGTCTGATGCCTAACTGACTGAGCCACCCAGGCTCCCCTAACCAATAAGTGTTTTTAAGCAACACTATGAGTAAACTACTGCACTGAGTGCTTTGGGGAACTTAAAAAACAAGGTTTCTGGGGCGCCTGGGTGGCGCAGTCGGTTGGGCGTCCGACTTCAGCCAGGTCACGATCTCGCGGTCCGTGAGTTCGAGCCCCGCGTCGGGCTCTGGGCTGATGGCTCAGAGCCTGGAGCCTGTTTCCGATTCTGTGTCTCCCTCTCTCTCTGCCCCTCCCCCATTCATGCTCTGTCTCTCTCTGTCCCCAAAATAAATAAACGTTGAAAAAAAAAAAAAAAAAAAAGACAAGGTTTCTGTCCTTACGTTGCTGATAACCCACTGGTTAGGGATTAAACAATTAGCAAGTGCTTCAGGAATACAGAGGAGAGGAAGATAAATTTGGGCTAAAATAGATATAAGCTGTATCATAGATACAGCAAATTATTCATTGAACCTGTTTTGTTTCAGGACTTTGGAAATTTGAAGGACTTTGATTTTTCAGGCTTAGTACTGAGAGATTAAGTCCTGTCCTCAAAGAGTCTAGCAGGAGAGAGACACAAACCACAATTCAACATGTTATAGTAAGTAAAAGTAAAGTCTGCACAGAGGAGCTGGGGCAGATGTCCCAAAGAAAATGGTAACTGAGTTCAGCATTGAAGAAGGAAGGATGAATAAGAATTAGCCAGGAGAAGAAGAGAGAGATGGGGAGATGGGGGCGGGGCCAGCTGGGAAGGAGTGGAACGAGACCTTGCCAACAGCAGCAAGTGTCACGTGAGCAAAGGCATAGGGGTAACAGACAGTGAGGCTTTGTACATAACCTCTAAGTAGTGCTACTGTTAAAAGGCAGCGAATGATGGGAGAAAAAGGTAGGTAATAGAGTAGGCAAGAGCAAAATCATGAAGGCACAGTGAAAGGCTGGGACTTCATCCAGTAGGGCAGGGGACCCACTGAAAGGTTTCAAGCAGGAAATGACTTGATCAGATTCGCTCCTACCCTCTGGGATCAGAGTGAAGATGGGCAAGACTTAAGGCAGGGAATGCATTAAAAGGCTACTGCAGGGGCACCTGGCTGGCTCAGTCGGTTAAGTATCCGACTTCGGCTCAGGTCATGATCTCACGGTTCGTGGGTTCAAGCCCCGCATTGGGCTCTGGGCTGACAGCTTGGAGCCTGGAGCCTCCTTCAGATTCTGTGTCTCCCCCTCTCCCCCCCCCATCCCTCCCCCGCCTCTCTAAAAAATAAACATTAAAAAGAAATTTTTTTTAAGGCTACGGCAAAGTGCTGCAGAGAGATGATAAGGAGTTGCCTAAAAATAACTAGCATACTTACCACATGCCAGACCATATACACATTACCTTACTGACTACTCCCTCACAATGACCCCCATGAGGTCATTACCACATGCTACAGATGAGAGAGTCGTGGTTTAGAGCAGTGCTTTTCAGACTTGGTTCCACCTTGGACTCCCTTGGGGAGGCTTTTAAAACTCCCACTGTTCGGGCCTCACTCCATTCCAGCGAAATCAGTTGAGCCAAGAATTGGTATTTTGTTTAAAGCTCCTCAAGTGGTTCCCATGTGCAACCAGGCTTGGGGATGGGGGGGGGGGGGCGGTTAGAGGGAATGAGTAACTTGCCAGTGGCTGAAAGCGTGAGAGCCAGGATTTAAACCCAGGTCTGCCTGGCTCCAGAGCCCATGCTCTTAAACCTCAGCATATAGAGCCTGAACTAGTACTAACCTGAAATAGTACTAACAGAGGTGGAGTGGGGCGAACAGATTCTATAAATGTTTAGGAAGCAGAATAGGCTGGAATTTGGCAAAAGATTTGCTGAGAAAGGTGAGGGAAAGGGAAATTCTTACTTTGCCAGCTCAGGAGACTGGAAAGGTGATGGCACTATCAGCCTGTACAGAGAATGAGGGTCGAGGGAGGACAGGTATAGAAGGCAGAGGAGGCAGGCAGAAAGAGGAAGAAGAAAATTCGAGTTCATTTATAAATTTAAGGTACCTGTAGGACATCTTAGCAGACATCTGGCATATACCTGAAGCAAATAATAATAATAATAATAATAATAATAATAATAATAATAAAAGGAATATACCTGAAGCTCAAGGGATGTCAGAACTTAAAGATTTAAGAGTTATCATTTATTTATTCAATAAAAATGCAGGCGTGGATAAGATCTTTCAGAGTTTATGTAGCTGATGGATAAGACTGATGGCTAACAAGATAGGCAAAGGAACAAAAGCCCACAAAAATGACTGAGAAGGAATAGTCAGAGAGGTACATGGGGAATCAGGAGAAACACTATAACAGTATTTTCTAACCATCTTTCAACGCTTGTTGAAAATTTCCTTCTAAACTGTACTAATGGGCATTGTTACTTGGTTAAGTATGGTATACAGAATATGACTGTGTATGTGTCAGTGTGTGTTGTTGTTGTTGTTGTTGTTGTTGTTAATGGTGATGATTCAGAATGATTCAGGTGATTCAGAATCCTGAAACACACCTTAAAGTCCTTTCATTAAAGATGCCAATCATTGCCTGACTTGCCCACACCCCCTTCCAAAAGAATCTGCCATATTGCCTAAGCAGTCTAGCTCCTTCTCCCATGTCCCCACCCCAACCCCAGACCACAGCTGTTTAGATCAGAGATGGACACCTGAGCCAAGAACATATCATCCACTGGCTGGCCAAAAGAGAGCAGGGTCCCTTTCTCTCTGTTCAATGTTTAGGAGACTAAGTTCAGGAGACTAAAGGAACAGTTGGCAGTGGGACCAGGAATGCCACGGGATTATGTTGGGCCCAGGATAAGTCAAAGCCTTTGCAAATGAAAATTATGAAGGGGAAGGAAACATTTGAAGGAGAGATGGAAGAAGCTGGCTGATAGAGAAGACCTAAGCAGAGCAAACACTTATAAAGAAAGCAAGAAAAAGAAAAGACTGGCCCCAGAACTGCCTTAGAACTTGAACCCTCCAAGTTCAGTTCTCTTTCACAAGCATCCTCACCAGCAACCACAGCTTTCTGGAGGTGACTGGAGTAGGTTTCTCTTCCCTGTAACCAAACAAATAATCATAAATATCTATGTCAATTATCATTGTCCAGAGCTGTTGAATATAGATAAAACTGTGTAAGAAATAGCGTTGGCTATACATTGGCCTCAGGATAGACTCTGAAAGTAAAATTTAAAAACTAGGTTCCTGACGCTAGAGGCTTTTGTTTTTGCTTCTGGTCATTTACCCACTCCTCACAAAAGTCGAATGCAAAATGGATTCAGGGCTCTCTTGTACTCAACCTATTTAGTCAGAATTATTTGTTGACTAAAGAGAGTCAGTATACCTCTCCTACAGACATTTACACAGCAAAACAGTTATACCACCACAGTATAAGAAATATTATAAGATTACAGGAAAGAAATTACTAAATCAAAGCTCTACAATAGTCATATGTTCTTTAAATACAGAGAACAAACTGAGGGTTGCTGGAGGGGGTGGGGGTGGGGGGATGGGCTAAATGGGGTAAAGGGCAATTAAGGAAGACACTTGGGATGAGCACTGGGTGTTATATGTAGGGGATGAATCACTGGAATCTACTCCTGAAATCATTATTGCACTATATGCTAACTAACTTGGATGTAAATTAAAAAATAAATTAGGGCGCCTGGGTGGCTCAGTCAGTTAATCGTCCGACTTTGGTTCAGGTCATGATCTCACAGTTCATGGGTTTGAGCCCCACATATGACTCTGTGCTGACAGCTCAGAGCCTGGAGCCTGCTTCTGATTCTGTGCCTCTCTCTCTGCCCCTCCCCTGCTCATGCT